TTTAGCGTTTAGGGTTTAGGGGCTTGATAGCGCCACAGCGAACCCTGAGTCAAGCATACCCAAGCTTACCTATGCAGAGAGGGAGGTATAATATGGTACCCTATATATGTATGCATATTTTTATAGTTATGTATGTATGTACGTGCGCATGTATGTACGTATGTGTTACATCTATACATATATGTGTATATATATATATGTATATGTATACATACATACATACATACATACATACATACATACATACATACATACATACATACATATTTATATATATATATATATAGAGAGAGAGAGAGAAGGAGAGAGAGAAAGAGAGAGAGTCTAATATAGAGGCTCAGAGCTTACAACGTCGTAAACTCCTTTGACTTTCCGTATCAGGAAGCTGATCAGGGGCTCACGTTGTGATAGAAGGGCTAGTTGAGTTTCTATTGGAGAATTGATGCAAGGCTCGTGTCTCGGAACTCGCTCATCTTTCCCACGCTGAGGTCATCTTCTCCCCGCAACTGAAGCTGGCAAGCTCATCAAGGCCTATGTGAATACTAGATAGGTACATGGAGCCTCAGGGTTTAAAGCAGCAAAGTCAAGCTTCAGTCAAAGAAGCTGCAGCCTTGAAGCCCGCTACTGGGCAGTTACAAGCGGTTGCAAGTGCCCCAATATGGCGGTTTAAGGTTTAGGGTTTAGGTTGTTTTTTTTAATGAAGGTTTGGGGGTTAGAGTTTAGGGTTTAGGGTTTGGGGGTTTGGGTTTAGGGTTTAGGGTACTCCAGTTGTCCTACACATGAACCCCCGTGACCGTGCATTGGCCCTCAGGTAACTATATTGAGTATAGGAAATTAGGAACCCTTTTCATCGCAGGTTGGTACACTGTAGGCACGTGGAACCTTACGAAAGGAATACAAAGCCACCTGCGACTCTGCAAAACCTAAACCCAAAACCCTAAACCCCTAAACTCCTAAACCCTAAACCCTCAAGCCCTAAACCCCTGAACCCCTAAACCCTAAACCCTAAACGCTCAAAACCTCCCAAGTGTTCATCCGTCGACTTGTGGGCCCATGTACAAAACCCCGAGAGCCCTCGACCCCATCAGGAACGAATATCATACCTAAAGCTTAGGGTTTAGGGTTTAGGATCTAGGTGTTTAGAGTTTAGGGTTTAGGGGTTCAGGGGTTTAGGGTTTAGGGGTTCAGGGGTTTGGGGTTTACTCGGAAAACATAAAGGACATGTTCCTGACCTAAGATGCCACTACCCTAAGGCTCTTATTGCTGTTATGGGCTTTCTAGGGGAAGGTTTGGGCTTTGGAGGCTAAGGTTTGGGCTTTCATCATGAGCCTTAGGGTAGGATAACTAAAGGTACCCCTAAACCCTAAACCCCTAAACCCTAAACCCTAAACCCTAAACCCTAAACCCTAAACCCTAAACCGTACATGTTCCTTACTTAAGAAGTGCTAGGCTCTCTGGGCATACCTTGAAACCCAAACGCCC